TTTACCTTGTACCGCTAAATGTGTAAAGAGACACGCTAGCATTTACCAAATCCCAAAAAAGATGGAAAACAGAATTATGTTTAAATTGCGTGAACTCAATGCATGATCAGGATTTTAGAAGCAGAAGCAGATGAAAATAAGTAAAACAAAGAATCGCCACTGAGATAGACAATTATCAAAGGCCCAACCTAATGACAATCCGGAACTCAGTATCTATTATCAACAAACTAGGTGTCATGGGTCATGTACAAGCCCACGTTTGAATGTTATTTAAAAGCCTGCAAAAATCAATGATCAGACCCAGTCCAACTAGAATTAGTCCTAAACGCACCGTTAATACATAAACACAAATTAAGGAGACCTCTCCATCTGATTCGAATCAAATTAGGTCTTCTTCATCTCCTTCCTCAATCCTCTGGGCGAGACGAACACTGCATATCAGGAAACCTTAATTTCACCGAGTGATAGAAGTTTCGAGAAAATGACAATAACGCTAAGACAAGATGACAAAGCACTAGCGACATGAACCCTAGGGTTAGCAAACCTCTTTCAAGGGTTCTTTTGCAAACGAAAAGTTTGATGAACACAATAATAGACATGGTCGCCGTAATCGTGTTAGAAAGAGATAGGCGAGTAAATTCCGCACTGAAATAAAATGGCGATGAACAAAACGTCGATTTGTGGATAAAAGGATTTGGGGTTCAAAACGATGATTATGTGAGGATTTCATATTGGATGGGGATCTTCTCTTCGAATGTGGATACATAGATTTGGCGTATGAAACATGATGATGTTGGGGATTTGAGATTGGATAGGGAGCTAAATCGAATGTGGATCAAATAATAAAAGGATTTGGGTTTCGAAACGATTTGTTGGAGATTTCAAATTTGTAAGGCAGCTTATGATCGAACTTCGAACTTAGAGGGGACCCTCCAAGGCGAATGAGGGATCGTAGAAGGGAGACTGGAAATTGGTTAGGGCGGCGGGTCGTATCCATAGGGTTTAACCTCTTAATCGATATCATTAAACCGGGTACAGTTAGGTTGAAGTCCAATGAATAAAGCATAAACGCTTCGTGATGCTTTTGGTAATTTTCCTTGCCCCCGGGTCAGACTGGCGTACGTCAGGCGTATACTATCCGTCAGGTACTACTAGTGAGATATCCCTATCTAGACCATGAATTAAATCGAGTTTGGGGTGTGATACTATACCCTAACCTCTAATGGATAAACCCCAGTCACAGATTTTCTAAACCTCAACCAGAAGTTTGATTTAATGAGAAACAAAAATTGACCGTTGAGATCGGCCGGAGCTCATCTAAGTACATCTAACGGCTAGATCACCTAACGTATAGTATCACACCCCAAACTCAATTTAATTCATGGTCTAGATAGGGGTTTATCCATTAGAGGTTAGGGTATAGTATCATACCACAAACTCGATGTAATTCATGGTCTAGATAGAGATATCTCACTAGTAGTACCTGACGTATAGTATACGCCTGACGTATGCCAGTCTGATATATATATATATATATATATATATATATATATATATATATATATATATTAGCCTTCAAAGTATATAAGAATAAATTTAACTAGTCATGCCCTCCATATTAAAATTAAAGATTCATATTTCAAAGGCTAAAATTTTGAAAACAAAAAAATTGAACACACCAAATTTGTTTCCTTCTTTCTTTCACATAAAAATTCTATGCTTCTTTCTCCTTCCATAAATTAGAAACGCTCAATTTTCCCTCTTCTTTCTCTTCCATAAAATTGAAAAAACCAAATTTCCCTCTTCCTTCTTTCCACAAAAGGTTGAAAACTCAAAATTTCCCTCATTATTTCTCTTTCATAATAAAAAGAACCAAACTTTTCCACTTCTTTCTCTTCCCACAAATCAAAACCACCAAAATTCCCACTTGTTTCTTTTCTAAAACATTCAAAGAACCAAATTTCCCTATTCTTTCTCTTCCCAAAAAGTTGAATACACCAAAATTTCCCTCTTCTTTTAAAAATATCAAATTACCAAATACATTACTTTACTTTATTTATATTTAATTAATAATTTTATTGAATAGTTAAATTAACCAAAATTTTAATTTATATATTATATTAATATTGTCCTTGATCTCAATTATTAATTCTTCATTATTAATAATGACATTATGTTGATTTTATATTTTATATTTACTTTTTTAATTTTATTGAAGAACTTAGTGTTCAACTATAGTTAGTAAAATACGGTACGGGAAAGTTACGTATAAGATACGTACGGGTATTATATTTCGTCTCTTAGCTAATGTTACGTTTAATAGTACGTTAATAGTCATAAATATAAAATTAATTATTTTTATAAATAAATAAATATGTAAAAAATAGTAAAGTTAATAATTTATTTCATTAAATACGGACGGGTTTTATACGTGTTTAGTACGGGAGCCGTCAAATGAACGGAAACAAATGAAACGGCTTGACAATAATACGGATACGGAAGTTTTAAACGGATAAAGTACGTACGGGTACATATACGTGTATTAAACGGAGTATTTACTAACTATGTGTTCAAGTGACCTTCATGTTTCAATTTTTGTAATTTTCTTAAAATACATAATATCAAGTGAGTTTCATATTTTTTAAATTCCCCATACGAAATGAAAAAATAATTTTACTTAAGTTTAGAATGAAAAACTTTATTTTTAAAAACTATGTATTGTATATTATAATAATTATTCAAGTGGATTAGGTGAAGTTCGGGTTGAGTCGGTCGGGTTACGAGTTAGCCGGTTTCGGGTCAGTTAGGTTCGGGTTAATCGGGTTGTGGGTCAGTCGGGTTGTAGGTCAATCGGGTTCGGGTTAATCGGGTTGCGGGTCAATCGGGTTGCAGGTCGGGCGGGTTACAGGTTGTTGACTTTTAGTCAATTCGGATTGCAGGTCGGGTTGATCGGGCGGGTCAAACCGGTCGGGCTATGTTTTGACACTTATACCTAAGATGGCGAAGGCGGGCGAGTTCTTAATCAGTACGACATGGGGGAGATCTCATCCGCCGCCGGGCGAACCCATACCGTAGAAAATCCCTCAATGCTCGACCAATTTCTTCCTTCGCTGATATTTAATTTTATAATTTATTAATTTTTATTAAATAATTAATATGATTAATCACATTGACAAAGTTAGTGTAATGATGAGGTGGAAAAAATAAAATAAAAAGATTTTTTTTTTCATAGTTAACGGTCAAACTTTATAGTTGACTGTCACGTAAGACAAATTTAACGAAATGTAACGGCCTGTGACTAATGGTGAAACGGTTTGTAAAGTTAATGGCGAATAAGAGAAAAGTAATTCGGATAGCAAATGTGAAAGATTTGTGTAATTCGAGTGACCAAACGTGTAATTTAGCAATTCGAAAGTGAAGCTCTTATTCAATGAACATTGAGCTTCTTCATAGATATATAGGAGCAAGAGCAACTTCACCAAGCTTTTAATGTACTAGCAAACTTGTTAGCATTATCTTTTTTTTTAAGGTTCAATGAAAATACTCTCAAATCATAATATTAAGTACTTCGGCTATGAGATAAGTTTTGTCAGATGATACGTTACGAACTGCAACAAGAATAGCATTAACATATGATCTTAGTTCAAGTCAAACTCGAACAAAATTCGAGCAATGGATGTATGATGTGATGGAATAGCAAACAAGTTGTGAGATGATTTTCAACCTGGACTTAATTTAAAAACTATGTAATTCGAATTAAAAATTATAATGATGGCTAGGGTTATAGGATACTTAATGAACAAAATCGTGGTAATCAAGTACCAAAAAGCAGTATGCTATACAGGTTTTTATTTTCAGAATTCAGTTTCAATTCTCATCAAACGTCTCAGCTAAACAAGCTTCAGATTTTGTTTCTTAGGAAACGACAGCTTCGTTTTCATTTTAATTTATTTTTTTGTTGTGGAAAACTATAAGAAACGAAATGGCAAGTAAATGGACCATAAGATGGATGGCTTGTAGTGCTGAAAATTGGTATGGCCTTTTTCTGACCTTGTCTGACCCGTCCCTGAAGGATCAGCTTATAATACCAACCCGCTCCACCCCGCTCCTGTTTCTTTCTTGTCTTGTCTAACCTTCTAGGATGAGGACGGGTCTGAATGGGTCGGATCAGTGGGTCGGCTCAAATTAACACCCCTAATGACTTGTATGTTTTTACGTAATGTATTTGTGATATTTTTGTAAGGTCAGTTAACTTGATTTTATTATTAGATCACATATTAAGAAAATATTTTATAACAGTGTTTTATAAAAGTAACATAAATTACAAATACTTAAAAGTTAACTTGATTTTATTATTATACATTACATAAAAATAATGGAGGGATAATTATTTTCTTATGTATCAATTAAACAAAGTTACTACATGAGTCTTAGCTAATGATTTAGACACTATATAAATGGGTTAATTATATGGTTGGTCACTGAAATTAGTTAAATGGTTCAAGTTTGGTCACTCTCCGTCCATTTCCGTTAACTCTAGCTTATGTGGCAGTCAACTTTCATAGTTGACCGTTAAATATGTGACGTGGCAATTAAAAAATTATTAAAAATAAAAAAATAAACTTTTATATTTTCCACCTCATTATTACATTCATTAAAAATTAAAAAAAAAAACCTAATTTCTTTTTTACACATTCGTCTCTACCAAAAACCCTCCGCCGGCTTCCACATCGTCGAATTCCTCCACGGGTTGAACTATGCCCTCTCCCTCACACTCTCCCACTTCTACCCACTCGTCGGCTACCTCGTCACTTCCGAATGCCCCTACGACGACGTCTCCTACGTCGTCTCCCTCGATTGTGTGAACAGACTCGGAGCCCGATTGATCCACGTCGTCGCGGATCTGACCATCTCCGATATCATGTTTCCAACGTACGTCCATCGTCGTCGTCCAATCATTCTTCGACCATAACCGAGCGATCAACCACGACAGCCACACCATGTCCCTCGTGACAATTCAAGTCACCGAGCTCGTTGACGGAGTTTTCGTCGGGTTCTCCTTCAATCAAGCCGTCGGTGATGGGACTTCGTTCTGGAATTACCTCACTGCCTTATCTGAAACGTTTTGGAAAAAAACCCCAATCTCCCGTCCTTCGATGAACAAACGGCGGTTCTCTGAAGACCACGTCCCGATAATCCCTCTTCCGTCAGATCAAATCCCTAGCCGCTACGAATCGCCAGAGCTCCTCGAGTGCTTCTTCCACTTCTCGGCCGAATCGATTGCTAAAATCAAATCGAAAACCAACTACCAATTCCGGACCACCAAGATCTCGTCGTTCCAATCCCTATCCTCATTGGTCTGGCGATGCATAACCCGCGCTCGAAATTTCCCTCCGGAGAAGATCACCGGGTGCCGTCTCGCGACCAACAATAGGGGAAGGATGAATCCTCCCCTGCATCTTGACTACTTCGGGAACTCGATTAATCAGATGAGGACCTTCACCCCGGCGGGGGAGCTACTGGGGAACGATTTGGGGTGGGCGGCGTGGCGACTGCAGGAGGCGGTGGTGGGGCACAGCGACGAGAAGATCAGGGGGATTTTGTCGTCGTGGTTTGAGCCGTCGGTGGTTTACCGGATGGAGCAGGTGTTGGACACGGTTAGTGTGATGATGGGGAGCTCGCCGAACATGGAAGGAATGCCACTGTCGGGCCGGAGGTTCTGTTCCGGTGGCGGTGAGGTTTGGTCAAGTAGGGTATTGGGGTGTTAAAAAAAGATATTGATTTTTTATTTTTTTATTTTTTAATGAATGTAATAATGAGGTGGGAAATATAAAAAAATATTTTTAATAATTTTTTAATTGCCACGTCACATATTTAACGGTCAACTATGAAAGTTGACTGCCACGTAAGCTAGAGTTAACGGAAATGGACGGAGAGTGACCAAACTTGAACCATTTAACTAATTTGAGTGACCAAAATTGGATTTAAATATTTCCAGTGACCAAACATGAACGTTTTTTTGTAATTTCAGTGACCAACCATGCAATTAACCCCTATATAAATCTTATGAAAGGTTATATATTTCTTATGTACAAACTAAACATTATATAAGTCTTCCATGTATTTGAAAAATGAAAGGATTTTGGTATAACTTGGGTTTTAAAAAACCATGAATATATGAGGGTTTTGGGTTTATTATGAATTTGATAAAGGCCATTGTTTGTTTGATGGATTTCATGATGGATTTTGTTAATTAAATTTGTATGTATAAAGTGTAACTTGCCTTTATTGCCCTCAATGATATAAGAAGAGAAAGAAAATATGAGGGGTATGTTGGTAAAAAATGATAGACTTCAAAGTCCATGATCAATTCCCACCTAAAGAGATGGAATTTCAAGTCCTTGGGGCCCACGAATTTGGACCATCAAAGTCCATAGGTCCCACGGATTTGTTATCTCTAAATACTTGAAGCAAACAACGGATTTTGGACTTTGACAAAGTCCATCATGGATCCAAATCCATCACCAAATCCATCAAGCAAACAACCCCGTCATATATGGAGGGATAGTCATTTCTTAAGTATCTCTCAAACAAATGCATAACGAATGTCTTTCGTAATTTTGTTAATGTCATTTCTTATTAAAAATGCGTAATTTTGTTAAAACACTACATGTATGTGATGCTCAAAGACGTATCTTACCCAAACAAATTTATTAATTATTTGATTTCAACTAAATTATTAAATAAATAGATAAAATTATAAATATAATCAACTTTTTTATCGCTGCGAAATTAGAGGGATATTAAGTTATAAGAATGATAGAAACTTTGAGATTATCCAATGGACGTGCATCCCTTGCGTTGCGCTGGAAACTAATAGGTTCCATGAACCAAATCTCCATCGATCACATTACCAATGGATTATGAATCTCCCAAAAGCATCCAAACATAGACCCCAAAATTTATTTAAGGCAAAATATACCTGTGTAGCCAAAACTTTGACGGTTTGGCCAAATATAGCCACGTTTAACGAAATACCAAAAATAGCCACTTCCGTCCAATTGTTTGACGGTGTTAGTTAACGTGCTGACTAGACTAACAGAAACAGTTGACGTGACATATTTTATTCAAAAATAATGTTGGGTGGAAAATAATCAACATTTTATCTTTTTATTTTAATCGAATTAAATGGATAAATGAAAAAATAAAAAGTATTATTGACCACCTATCCTTCTCTCTTTCTTCCTTTTATTCTAATTAAGTTTAATAAAACATTTAAAAGAATATCTCCCACCCCAACTTCATCTTCTTCGGCTGCCTCCCTCACCCTCACCCTCAACCCTACCCAACCCCCAATCCACCGCCGCCTTCACTCACCTCCGATGCGGCCTCTTCACGAGGATCGTATCCTTCCAAACGCCGGCTTTTCCTTCCTCGGCGTCGGGATAGTCCTTCTGTCCGCGTAATCGAGTTCCCTGATTCGTCGGAGCCTCCTCCAGTGGCTCCTCCTCTCATCTCCGCCGCCGCCGCCGCCTCGTAGAAGCCTGACAAGCATACTCTGTTTCCGCCGCTCGAGCTGCACCTCTTGCGATTCCCGATGTTAATCGAACATCCCTCATCCGCTCCTGCCCCTCCGCGAAATCCCTCAGATCTCGAGCTTCTACGCTGGATCCAAGTCGAGGGTCTCGGTTTCAATGGCGGATGCGGGAGAAGAAGTCGCCATCTTCCTCTTTTCAATATCCATCATCGGCAACAGAGGCGGAGAGAAGGATGAGGCAGCTGGGTGCGGGTAAATGCGAAATCCCTAATATCCAATCGATAGCTTCACAATTCTTTATTCCCGATTGAGGGTGTGATTTTTTCGTTTTTGAAATAAGCAGCAGTTGTTGTTTGTTCCTCCTTAGTATGTAATGCTTAGTTAGTTATTTAGAAAAACAGAGCCTGCCTCAACAAATGAGAGGAAAGGTAAGGGATTGTGTGTGAATTGGCTTCTTCGTCGCATATAGGAAAACAGGCTTGTTCATCGCATCGCCTCCTGCAATTTCCTGGTAAATTGTGTGTGATTTTTTGTGTGTTAGCTGGTGTGCTTATCGTCGTTGGTAGGTAGCAAGAGAGATTGGCAGTAATGGCGGACTGGAGCAACGACGATTTGTGGTAGTGGTAGTGATTGGGGGTGGGGTCGATGGAGATGAAGGGAAGAATTGATTTTTGTATTTTTAAGATTTTTGTATTTTTATGAATTTTTATTTATTTTTAAATTAAAATATGACATGGCATCCATGTGGCAAGTGTTGTTGAGTTGTCGATGATGTGTCCGGTTGAGTTGGCAGCCAAGTAAGCGTTCCGTTAGTTTGATTAACGGTGTCACTGACGCCGTTAAAATATGTAACGGAAATGGCTATATTTGTCATGAAACTTTCAAAATTTTGGCTATATTTGGTATTTCGTCAAAATTGGCTATTATTGTCATAAACGTGAAAGTTTTGGCTATACAAATGAATTTTGCCTTTATTTAACTCCTTCCCTCCCAAGTCATTGTCCACTCACTTTACGGTTCACCAATAATCAAACCAAATCCCCATTAAAATACAGATTTACAAGTACACAGCACAGACGTCGTTCCAGATTCATGCCACCACACCACCCATTTTGATCTTCACCATTCATACACAAACCAAAGTTAAGATCAAGTTTAATACAAACTAAACCAAAGGAGTCAACTTCTCTCCCAACGTACGTAGATGGGAAAGCATTAGATTATTGAATTGAATTGGGTACTTCTATTTCCAGACATTTGGAGACATCTCCTTATCCCCGCATTTTTTTTTGTGTGTGTGTGTTAAATAATTGTCTGAACTCTAATAAACCAAAACACCGTTTTCTTCCCTCTGGCATCAAACCAACACGTTCTTCTTTCCACTCTGTTATAAATACCCAACACCTCTTTTCCTTTCTCAAACATCGCCCCAATTCACAACAAGCTCTCTTCCGTTTTTCTTTTTCTTTTGCAGAACGGAATCCAACCCATTAGTCCCAAAAGGCCCGATTCTAAGCGCCATGGATGTTCTGTTTGACACAGAGGGCCGGAGGGTTAATGTTGGTGGTGGGATTTATGGCGATGGTGATCATCAGCTTGAAGATGATGTCTTCTATGCTGAGCTTGTGAGGCAGGTCCTGATCTTAACGGCGGATGACGACGACTCCTCCACCGCGATTCCCCGCCGGAACAATTTTGGTTATTTCGATTCGATGTCACGGACTGCTGCTGGAACTCGAAGCTTGTTGTGTGGTCGTACCGATTCTGCACAAACTTGGCCGGCGGTGAACAACATGTCGAGGAACGGTGGCGGCTTTGGTGGTACTGGCGTTTTCATTCCTCTAACCGCCGCCACATCCAGGAGAAGGAACGGGAATAGTAATGGTAAGTGTTTATCTCTTTGCTATACAAATACAATACAAAGGGTTAGGGTTCGATTCTGGTTCTGCATTCGTACTCAATTGGATGGTTTTCGTTGCGCGATTTGCAGGCAGACGAGGCAGCAGTAGTCACAAGCAGCAACAAGGACAGAAGATGATGGTGCAGAGCAAGCACTGACTGTTCATCCAACTTCTCGCATTTCTGATTGTAGATCTTAGGACCTAGTAGTTGAACACATTAGCGCAAACCCCTGAATTCCTAGAAAGTGCAACGCAACTATGAACATTGATTGATTTCTTGTAAAACCAGTTCGTCGCAATAACAAGAGTTGTCACTCCATTAGTAAATTTGTCATTCAACCTACACTACATTAGTGTTTTTGAGTATTCATCCAGCAAATCCTACACTACAACTGGAAAACAACAACACAAACAAAATCGGCGAGGGATTGCTGCAACGCTTCCATCCCCTGCGACAGCGCATCTTCGGCCTGCTGAGACGACGGCTGCAGATTGCATATCCCCACCAGCTGCTGATCTCTCAAAGGCTCCAGCTGGTTCCCTAATATCTGGGGATTTTATTTTCCACGTCAGAAGACACTGCTTTTTTTAGTAAACAATTGAAGTCAATGTAACTAGAATTATTGGGACTAATTGGTTGATCGGTGTTACCTTGACAAGTTCTGAAGAGCGGAATCCACCCAACCACATGAAACATCCCTCGGCGGGAGTCTTCCACATGCCGGACGTCGGCCTTGGCGACGATGCTCATCAGCCGGAATATCTCGTCGTAGTGATCCATGACGCCGTCGACGAGGATGCGGAGCTGGTTGTCCCCCATTTGAGAATTCACGGCGGTTCTCAAATCGTTGATCAGCCTCTGATTCTCGTCGATCCATCGCGCGTATTCGATGTCGAATGCCAACGCAGCACCACCTCCGCTTCCTGATACCGAGTGGCCATGGTGGTCCAGCGATGCACCACTGGAGGCAGCAAAAATTCCCTGTGGGAAAGAAGAAGAAAAAACAGAGAACGCCATTGATGGGTTGCTTGCTGCGGAGACGTTTGCTTTGATTGCAGTTGCAGAGAAGTGGAAAGAAGAAGGGCAGAGTGTAGGAGTAGGAGAAAAGGAAAAGAGAAGTGAAGTGAAGTTGCAGTAATAGGGAGGGAAAGGGTAAATCTTTTTGGTATGATGATCTTAGTAAAGAAAGGATTTCGTATCAGTACGGCCTCTTTTTATGCTTCCCCAATCATGTGCCTTCCACTTCTGACTTCTCCCATCGATGATGTCTTGGTGACGAGATGTTGAGAGATGATCACAAATAAAACAAGTAGTACATTGCATTCTTGGAGATAGAACAAGAAAGAGACAAACCTCATTTTAACTATGATTTAATGATTTATTTCTTGGAGATAGTCGTTATGAGTTATGATCACTGCTGTAATTCTACAAATTATCAACACAATCATATCATTGGTTGCAAGGTGAGTTATCATAATTTATATCAAGACAGAATCACATACAGGTCACGTATTGTGTTCAATCATTAAAACCTGATCAAACCAACCCCCCCACTTCCACAAAAAGAGAGGGATGATCCAAGTGTTGCTATCAAAGAGATACAGATTCTTGTATGTTAACATCAAACCTATTCTGGGTCAATACTTCCCGCCCTCGAGCACTTCTGTGTCGAAGGCGCTGGTGTAACGCTTCCGACAACTGGTTGAAGAACTCGGCGTCCCACCTGTGGATTAGCAACGGGTCTTCTGCATAACATATGTACATCGATGTAACGGCGCTCTCAACAACCACCATTGCAACTCCAACCTGTACAAATAACCCAACCATTCTTAACTTTTTCTCAAACATGACCTGGCTTCATACAGACAGTACTATGCAGGACTAACAGAGCAACATAAAGAATGAAAGGGGGAGCTCGTTGACCATCTGAAGTGTTAGCCATCGCCTGTAACCGGGATTCTATGTAAAGAATTTATCTTTTTTTTTTTTATTTTGGCTACACCGAGTATAGTATTCTTGGATTTGAGATCTTCAATCCCTTAATGTTTAAAACTCTAGCTTCAAATCCATGGATTCCCCAAATCTCAATGATACAAACTCCCAACTTCCGGATGATCCCTTAGATTTATCTGACTACTTCTACAAAGAAACATTGCTTACTCAACCTCCAAATCCTCTTAACAGTGCATGACTAAGTCTTACAAGACGAGCTAAGAGAGGGCATGAAAATTGCTATAAGCCTAGAAAATACAACTAATGATCAAATTTTGAAAGTGATTAGTAATGCACATAGAAGAGACTCTCGTTTGAAAAGTGAAGGATGGCAAAAAGAACTTACCAAGACCATCCCCATCAACATTGCAGTGGATCCAACCATTAGCATTCTCTCATTCTTGGCTTCCCACTTGAAATGAGTCCAGATTGCCGCGCAAGTCCCTGTGATAAGCCCACCTAATATTGTTCCCATCAAAAGAACAGCACCTGAACAATCATATGCAACCAGTGACTCAACTCCAGTTGACTGAAATAGCTCCCACGCATCCCTTGCTGACCGATTAAACCCTTTCCCAGATACAGCTATCTGAAGGGCAACACAGTACACAGCAATCTGAATAACTGCTCAATCTTCAACAATTCTTTTTATACTTAATCATATCAAGTTTGTCTACCGATAGAAACATGATTTAAAATTTCAGAAGGTTCAAGAGGTTTCCTGCAAGTTACCTGGACATAGGCATACTTGTTGAAGAAACGGACAAGAGTCTCCACAAGATGAAACATAAGATCGACACAGCAAAGCAAGCACTCATTCTTGCCTATCTTTGACCTCAACCCTCTGATCTATAATTGTGAATGAAACATAATTAAAGCACACTCAAAGCACAGAGAAAAACCTAAGAGAAAAAAAAAGGAAGTGGTGCCTACCTCCCAACGCAATGTCCGAATTGCAGCAGTGAACAGTGAACCATAGCAAATGCTGCCAAAAGAGGTTGTGAGAGTGTATCTTATAGCCTTCATCAAGGAGTTGGGAGGCATTGATGCAGCATCTCGGCCACCGTGGATGAGAACAAGGAACACCATTCCAGAAACTATAACGTGTACCATATTACATATCACTGCACCCGTCCAAAACAAGCTTATTGACAAAACCTGAATATCATCATTGACGGGGATATAGAAAAGTCACTGTATGCTGTAAAAAGGATATTGTCCCAATAAAGTTATTTTCATGCAGTTCTTATCCCTCAAGAAAAAGGGACATGATAAAGAGCAAAACTTGCCAGCTCACCAAAAGAAGCCACCAGCCACCGCCATCGGGCAAGTTCAAAGCCAGAACTCCAGCTACTCCGAAAGACCATAATATCATCCATAAAAGCACTACTAGCATGAATGCATATGCAACTCTCAGGACTTCAGGAAGACTCCATACCATCTTCACTGACTTTTGCAGAACCAGCATGGTAAAAGGAAGTCTGTTTATAGCAGCACGTTATTAGAAATATTCGTGCAACGTGATTTACACCTTTCTTTACGAATGTAAAACCATTGCTAAACTCATGGCATAACAAATGAATGACAATGCTCAATACGGAAGAAATTCTCAGAGACCAGCACAAACAACAAAAATGAAAAAGGGAAAACACATATACATTCTTTAAGGCTAACCACCACTATGCAATAATAGATGTTGGAACTCAAGTCAATTTTGCTGTTCTCGACCAAGATTTTGTAACCATAGTTTCCTACTGCAACTTAACAATGCTACTTTGCCATTTTATGTAAGTTTAACTATGTCAACGATCGATATCATTGACTGCCTTTATCCATATAGCAACAAAAAGTTAAAAACAGGCTCTCAAGTCTATAACCTCACTCAGACATCAAGTTAGTAGTCATCGCTTCATGACCTAAAGAAAACAGACTAGGACATACAAGAGACATCCAAAGTATTTGATAAGTTGCTAGCTTCAAGAGCAACTTGAAGACACTATAACGAATACACAACAGAGGGTCGCAATGAGAACTTTCTATGGAGGCACAATCATCATCCTGTCTCACAATTCAAAATCTACCACTGTATATGTAGATGTAAAAACACAACGCTTTCAAAATGCTTACCGGTCTATAACTGATATGACATACAAAAACTGCAATCCAGCTCCAATAGCAAACGTCACACCCCAGAAGAACTGCTCAGACCAGAAACACAGAACACTAATAACTGCAAGATAAGTGGTCAAGATATGAACAGCGATGTTCATCATCTGATTGGCAAAAGAACCAAGCATCAACAACCAAGCCCAACCAAGTAGAGTCCCAATTCCACCAGCCAAAGCATAAATGGGCCAGTAATCCTCGGTGTAACCCCACCCATGGCTGCCATCACCATGATATATATCGAGATGAAACCTATTCTTTCCCCTGAACTTATTGAAGCCCAACATCACAAGAGCAAATCCTATTCCAATGAGATGAACTGAAAAGATTCCTGACCAGAAAACATCGTGCCATTTCCGGGGTACGTCAATTCCCAGTGCTTGAGTACCACCCCCGTCAAGACTCCTCCCCACAATCTAAACAATTAACCCAAAACAGAGAAACAGTTAGAATCAGGTTCTTTCATGAAGTATCAAAGAAATCACAGATGAACTTCAGGACACAGTAGAAAATGGAATGGAAAAAAGTTGGAATCTTTCACAAACTAACACAACTTGTGAACACGATCTTCAAAAAGAAAACCGCTTTGCCCCCAAAATGTTATGGAAGTGAAAACCCTTTACAGAGAATCCTACGAGGATTCCGTATAAACGTGGCAATTCGACAGATCACAGAAACCCAATTCAGATATGGTCTGTCCCTAAAAAGGGTAAAGTACTGATGAATCGGAGAGATCAACAACCATTCAAAAACGGACGAGTGATGAGAATTCAATAGGGTCATGAGAAATTACCAAACACAAAAAGAAACTGACCTGATCGGCGGTGGAAGGGGAAGCGGCGGATGAAGAGGAAGTCTTAGAACTGGGAGAGTCGCTCATGGCGGGCGGAGGCGACGATGACAAAGATTCTTTCTTCTTCTGCCAGCAGTGGCTTTCTTTGCTTTAATCAAGATGAAACGGTGGGGGTGGGGGGGGGGGGGGGGGGGGGGGGGGGGAGGGGGGGGGTGGAGAAAACTGGAGTGGTGGCGAATTAATTATTAATTAGTCAATAATTAAGAAGATGAAGAAGAAGCAGAAGAGGGGTTGAAAGTCCAAGTCAGTCATCTGAGGAAACGAGGATTAGAAGTCGAGGCAGAGAATAAGAAGATGAGGACAAACTGGGGAGTTGTTGGTGTTGCTGTTGGTTACTGTTTAGGGTTCTTTTCCCATTCCAATTCTGTGGGGAGTGAAAAGGGAAACTGATCAAGGGGAAGGGTGGGGGGAAAAATTGCGCGAAAATGATGGTGGTCAACTGCAGAAGAAAAAAAAAAACTCACAACGGCTAGAAAACGTGGAGTAGGGGGCGTAGATGATCCGCGCGCCGGCGTAGATAGAAGAATTGCGGCAGGGAAAGAAAGTGCGAAGACGGGAGAGTGGGCGAGGAAGTGGGGAAGTCTTCCGTCAGTCAGAATCTGACCAGCAGAGAGAGAGAGAGAGCAGACCACTTTACTCTCTTCGGATTCGCCAATATACGCGACCGCCACCGCCCACCGGTGTGCCTTTTCGCCGCCTCTGCAGTATGAGGCAGGGTCATATGTATATATGGGTTAATATTAATTCCCTAGTTTGGCCCGAACTTTAGTGTTAGTGACAGTTCTGACCCCATTTTTTAAATAAGACATTTATGGCCTATTTTTGAAATTATTGGATAAATTTGGCCTACGATTTGAATTGACCATCAAAATAGACGGTCAACTATTTTTTCGTCGATGACTCGGCATCAAAATACTGAGGTGGATTCGAGGTGGCTGCCACACCATTTATTTAGATTAAAAAATTTAAAACAAAAAACTTAAAATAAAAAAATAAAAACCCAAAATACACTTTCCAATACCCTAAATTCCCTCCCCTCATTCCCGTAAAAAAAAAGTCCCTCCCACCCAACTCACTCCCATCCCCACCGAATAGGAATCTGGAATCCCTAACATCTATCATCGCAACCCCATCCTCGCCACCATTCCCATCTTCGGCTACCTTCGCTCCATCTCCCCTACCATTTTTCATGTCCGTCCTATTTTGTTGCTGCTCCATCGAGATCTCGTCCACAAGATCAGAAGTTGCTGCTCTTTGATTGCCCATATCCCTCTCCTCGTCGAACTCGTGATGGTACCTCTTCTGCAGAAGCGAAGGCGACGGGGAGCCTTGGCGGTGCGGCAGTGCGACGCGCGTGCGTCCGGCGAGAGCGAGTATGCCAATGGTCGTTCTCCTTGGAAGAAGCAGTTGTCAATGGTCGTCTCTCCAAACGATTTCCCAGAACTGAAATTTTGGGTTTGGGTTCTTCGGTTTTCAAAACTGATTCAGATCCCCGACCCAGATCTGGAGTAGAGTGAAAGAGGGAAAAGATGTGGTGGCTTGACTCTGACGACGAGGGTTGTCATTGATACAAGGAAGTCAGCCAGGGATGGCGACAATGAGAGGCAGCTAGAGATTGTAGGATGGGGAAGGAAATTTGGGGAAGGAAAATGGGGGAAGGATTTCGCAATGGGTGGAGGTGGAAGTTAGAAGAGGAAGAAGATAGAGGAAAGGGTTTCGTTTGACCATCTTTTTTTTTTAGTTTTAAATGATGTGGGCGTCCTAGTCAGCAGTGGATGTTGAGTCACTTACGGAGAAAATGGTTGACCGTCAATTTTGACGGTCAATTCAAAATGCGGGCCAAATTTGTCCAATAATTTTAAAAGTAGGCCACAAATGTCTTATTTGAAAAATGGGGCCAGAACTGACACTTACGCTAAACTTGGGGCCAAACTAGGGTATTAACCCTATATATATTATACTTTGGTCAAATTTGTTTTACAAACTATTGATGTTTCATAAATTATTTGGTATATTGGGGGAAAATAAAAATAATCATATATTGAGGGAATTTTTTCCCTTTGAATAATTAGTAAAAAACAATTAATTTGGCCATCTCTAATTAGTAAGAATCAAACAACGGTTGTAAAAGGAAGACTTATTAGAGAAAATATACTATTAGCTCATGAGCTAGTTAGTAAATATTCTCAGCAGAACATTTCTCCCTGCTGTGCTTTAAAGATTGACCTAATGAAAGCGTTCGATTTAGTAGATTGGACATTCATTAGTCAAGTTCTGAAGGGAATGGGATTTCCTGAGAGATTTGTTACCTGGATCAGAATGTGTGTGGAGACCCCATGTTAAGTGTGAGTTTCAATGGGGGGCTAGTGGATTATTTTCCTTCAAGAAAAGGGTTCAGACAAGGGGACCCCTTGTCCCCATATCTATTTTCTATTGCCATGGAGATCTTTACCTGTTTTATTGATAAATCTGCCTCTGAGGGGTTGTTTCCTTATCATCCAATGTGTAAGGGTGTCCAGTTAACACATTTGTGCTTTGCTGATGGCCTGTTGGTCTTCTCTAATGGTTCAAATTCTGGGTTGTTTGAGTTGCAAAGAATTTTGGCTCAGTTTAAGAAGCTCTCAGGTCTGAAATCTAACCCTAGCAAATGTGAAATCTTCTTTGGGGGGATTGATAAAGATGAGAGAAAAGTGAGGGCTTCTAGGTTTGGCTACTAGCTTGGGGAATTTCCAGTTCGCTATCTAGGAGTTCCACTAATTTCTGGGAAGTTAAGTGTTGCTGCCTGCAGACCTCTTATTGATAAGCTCCTTGCTCGCGTTAAGAGTTGGCAAGCAAAATCACTTTCCTATGCAGGAAGGATTGAGCTTGTGGGAACTGTTTTATACAGTATAACGCAGTTTTGGATGTCTGTCTTTTTGCTCCCAAAGTCTGTTATTAAAGAAGTTGAGAAGATTTGCAGCCATTTTGTCTGGGGAGTTGGCAGTGGTACGAAGTTGAGGGCAAATGTTGCTTGGCAGAAGTTGGCTTACCCTAAGAAAGAGGGAGGACTGGGGTTCAGGGACATGTACAGTTGGAATCAGGCATGTATGATTCGACACATTTGGTTAATACTAATTCAAGAAGGTTCTATATGGGTTGCTTGGGTTATTCGTTATAAACTGAAGGGTAGGGACCTCTGGTCTTATACCTGCAAATCAGGCTCCTGGAACTGGAAGAAACTTTTGAAGTTGAGAAGCAAAGTGGAATCACTTATATCAGTTCGTAGTGGTGATCTCTTGATTGATAATACTATTATGTCTCGCTATTCAATCAGGAAGATATGGAAACTGATTAGACCTTGTCAACAAAGAGTGCCATGGTGGAAAATCTTGTGGAAGGGAGTTACCATTCCCAGAAACAGAATTATCACATGGCTAGTTATCAGGGGAAGCATAAATACTAAAAGGAAGATGTTGAAATGGGGTTATTCAGGAGACGTTTCATGTTGTTTGTGTAAGACAGGGATTGAAGATAGGGATCACCTGTATGTTCAATGTATGTTCTCGAGGCAGATGTTTGCTGCTCTTTTTTGCAGATATTTGCATATGCCTATGGTGCATAATTGGGACGAGTTGATGGCTTTCTTGATTAGGAAGCTTGGTGGATCGACTGAAGCTGCTGAATCTGGACGTGCAATCTGGCAGGCCTGGGTGAGCCATTTATGGAGGGAGAGATGTAGGCGAATGTATACAGGAGAAGCAAAAGAGTTACAGGTCTTGTTGAAGATTATTCAGGGGGAGATTGAGTGTGTACTGGGTTTGCAGAGGGTCTCTTCTTTTTGGTCAATTAGTCTGCCTTAGAGTCTCGGTTCTGATAGGTTTGTAATTCTTTGTTAATCTTTGATTCGTTGTTATATCCTAGTTAGCAGGGAAGTTGCTAGCAACCCATTTTTGATGAATGAAGATCCCACCGATTCATAAAAAAAACAATTAATTCTTATTATATAAAGTTATTTCTTATTACGGTAGGTAGATTATTTACAAGAACGACATACACCGTTAAATACATCCTTTCAAGTTTCAACCTTTGTTAAAACTAGTGATGGCAAATGAGTGAGAAATGACAAGTATCACAAATTCTCAATACTCATATCCGTCTCGTACTTAAGCGGGTTAGTTGGGTAATATCCGTGCGGACACGAATCGAGGTAGGTTGACTTATTCTCATTAGACAATGATAAAAATAAATGTTAAATATTATTTTTTTACCATAAAATATAAAAGAAAAACACTTCATGAATGAAAATGACAATAAGAAAATGGGTAGTTGAGTATAAGATGAAATTATGATTAAGGAAAAAATTAAAATAGAAGAAGTGCAAATAGATATTGAGAAAATTGAGAAAAGATGGGTAAAAATGAGGCAATGCAGAATAAGACAGGTGGAAAGAAGACCCTACTTTATTCTGGTGGGTAATATCCGTCCCGCGTCCGAGTCAAGATTGTTTTAGTGAGATTGTTAGAATGTTTGCATTATTTAGAATATATCGCTTGTTTTATTTTAATGTACATAGTACTTATATTGTTTGTTTGGTGTAACATAAATAATCATTCAAAATGATTATTTAGTTGAAATTGTTTTTTTTTCAAATTTATTCTTAATTTTTTTGCATTGAGAATAAGAATACAATTCTTAAAAAAAAAGTATAAATGATATTTCCACTAAAAATGAAAAATGAATTTTCTTTTTATTAGAAAAATACTTACTTATACCTATTTTCCATGAGAAAACTCGCGTTGAATTGAAATTAAATGCGCCTAGACTTCTTGAACGGTGATTAATAAGACATGGCTCACACACATAGTTAGTAAATACTTCATTTAATACACGTATATGTACCCGTATGTACTTTATTCATTTAAAACTTCGTATCCTTATTATTGTCAAGCCGTTTTATTTTCCACCGTTCATTTGATGGCTCCCGTACTAAACACGTATAAAACCCGTATAACACGTTTAGTATCTGTATTTAATGAATTAAATTGTTAACTTTACTATTATTTATATATTTGTTTATAACATAATTAATTTCATATATTTATGATTATTAACGTACTATTAAACGTAACATTAGCTTAGAGACGAAGTGTAAATACCCGTACGTATTTTATACGTAACTTTCTCGTGCCATATTGTACTAACTAACACCTCTTTAAAAAAAGTCCCAATGAGGGTGTCTGAGTGATGTTTTTTTCAGGAATGAAACTATTAAGTTAAGTTACCCCTATTCCTATGGATAGAGTTAGAAATTTGGTATGAATATTTGGGATATACTGAATAGCGTACCAAATTTGTTTATATTTAGCATTACCGAATAAACGTATTATTTATTTGGGATTGTGATTGAATTTCAAGTGTTGTTCAGTAGATTGAGATCAATATATACTGAAATACTGATCAATACTTAAATATAGGGCTAATGCCACTAGGAAACCTGAACTATTAACTTTGTGTCATTTGTGCCCTAAACTCTAAAGTATCCAATATGACATTTGTGTCCAAACTATTTTTCCGATAGAGTTGACCGGTGTTGACCGTTAATGTTTAACAGAAAGTCTAGTCAGCGCTGAGGTGGTATCTGAAGTGGAATTTATAATTATTTTTCATATAAGAAAAGAAAATAAAAAATTACAAAAATAAAAAACATAAACTAA